TTATTGATGATATGCTTAAGAATAGCTTCATCTACCTTGTATGCTGTTGACATGTGATTTCTGTAATACAAGATAATGTCGTTATCTTGGTTGTTGGTATTAGGAAGGTTATTGCTGTGTAGTAATTTGTTTTTAACAATCTTTTCAATAGAGTAAGTCTTATATCCATTGTTTACAAGCAGGTTGGTGACTCTCTTTAATTCAGCGTCGCGATTTTCAATATCGGAAGAGTGTGTGAATGCCCGGTTCACAAATGATTTTATTGTGCTGTCTTTAAATTGTTCAGTGCATTCACTTTGTCCATTCAAACAAATTCCTGTATTCGTTTCTTTGACATAGACCGTGGTTTTGAATCGTTCTTCGCCACGGGTGACCAACACATCGAGGAAAGGTAAACGTTGTTCCTTTTCACTTTCAATGGTAAATCTAAGTTTTGATTTGTTTAAGGTACCAAGAAGTTGGGTGATTTGTTCAGGATCGTTATAGGAGACAAAGATATCATCCACGTATCTTGCGTAGATATTTGGTTTTAAACTTGCATTGTTTTTGAATGTTTCATTCTCCAGCTGTCCTAGGTAAAAACTGGCAAATAGGACGCCAAGGGGGGAACCCATAGCGACACCATCGATTTGCTTGTAAAGTTTGCCTGTGGGGCTGTGGAATGGTGCTTCAGTAGTGCAAATTTGAAGAAGGGACTTCAGTTGTGCTTTCGGTATGTTCAATGGAACCATATCTGAGTGGTAAACGGTGTTGATAATTATGTCGATTGTATCATGAATTGGTACATTTGGGAATAATGATTCAACATCCAGAGAGGCAATAAATTTGGATGGTTTATTAATGCTGAGGAGATTAATAAACTCACGGGAAGATTGTAGTGTGTGATTGTTTGGAATATATGGGGTTAAAATTTTGTTCAAGAATTTTGCAACAGGATAGGTGACAGTTGTAATTTGGCTAATAATTGGTCGGATGGGATGATTCTTTCATTCCTTCTTGCATCAGTCGTTTTCATTCAACGCTCATTCAATGCACTCAAAAATGCACCCCTAAAATATCAGCTATTTTTTTTCAAGACGATCAAATCATAAATCTCAGTAAAGATGAAAAAAACATTTCGTTTTCATGACACCTGCGGCCAAAAAAGTTAAAACCATTTAGCAGATTTTGGTAAATTTTGGTAAATATACGACTGATACCATCTCTCAGAAATATCCATCATCGAATGCATGAACACGAGGTGAGTTGTGACTATAAACTCCAGAAATGGTTGGTTGGCCTGTTGGAAATTGTCGTTAATATTTGATGAACTTTCTTTCATTTGGGCCACCACACCAACACAACTGTGTGTGTTGTGTGCGTGTGTGTGTGTGTTGTGTGTGTGTGTTGTGTGTGTGTATGTGTTGTGCGCGTGTAAATATACTTGCATTCGGAATTACGTGTGACTCTGCGAGGTGCCTGAAACCCGCTCAGCCAGATTCACATAAGTGCCTACAACATAACAAAATTACTATCTCCTAGTGCACTGCAGTCTGATAGACACACACACACACACATACACACACACACACAACACACACACACACACACGTATACATATATATATATATTTATATGTGTGTGTGTGTGTATGTATTTGAATATATGAATATGATTTCATACTGATCTGATTTACAAATATCTTTGTATATCTTTGTGTGTATATATTTGAATATATGAATATGATTTCATACTGATCTGATTTACAAATATCTTTGTATGAACTAACGTTACGACACTAACTATGCTGCTAATTCAACTTGATTAATTTTTTTATTATCATGAAAAATTACAATAACTGATATTTGCAAATTATATTTAAAATAATTTTAACTATAATTCTTTATTATAAATATTGACCAAAATAATTTAGCATTAGAATCGTTGGTGTGTTGTATTTTCGCTGTTTTGTTGGCTGATGTACATATAACATTGTTAAATACATACACATATTTAACAAGATGGATCGTTAAGATATTTTTTCCTCACAGCAACTATTACAACAATAAAAACAGTAACAACATCAATTACAACATTAACTACATCAACTACAACATCATCACATTAACTACATCAATTACAACATCATCACATCAACTACAACATCATCACATCAACTACATCAACTACAACATCCTCACAACAGCCTAAACAAAAGAACCGACCTACTGAAACAAAACTGCAGTTAAAAAACTCAACATACATCCTCAGTTTAAAGAACAATATGGCTTCTTTACAAAATAGTTAAAAATTTTGGTTAACAAAAAATTTTTTTAGAGTATATATCAGAAACTTTATCAAAAATAAGTTATAAACAACAAATAAAGTTCTAACAACAACAACAGCAAAAATAATCACAACAACAACAACAGCATAATCCCATTACTAATGCAAAAACCCTTTCCTTAAAGACAGTTAAACGGGCAATTACATGAAAAGTGGAATGATTGCGTTGTAAAAATGACTAGAGCCTAAAAAAATTTCAACAACACTCTTCTATAACAGAGTACTTCTAATTCGAAATGGTCTCAAACCACACATTTATAAAAGACACCATAATATATCGTTTGCAAACATTTATATACTTATAATATAGCACTAATATAACATCACAGATGACTGGAAGTTTACTCTCGTGAGAATGTCATTAACAACATTTTTGAGTAAGTTATAAATGACATCATCAAAAACATTATGAAATAGTTGACAATGTCACCGTCAAACAGATTCTAACATGCGTTAATGTTGCATATGACACCGGAAGCAATATAATCAAACTGTGAAATTAGCTACAATGACATCAACAGCATCGATCACGTCATCGAGTAAGTTATTGTAATAAGAGTAACAACAACAACGACTTTTTCAAACAAGTTGCAACAACAACAGAAGGCAACAATAACAACAATTACTGCTGCTGCTACTACTGCAGCCACTGCTACTGCTGTTACTTCTACTACTACAACTGCTGCTACTACTGCCACCACTATTACTACAAAGGCGTCGACATCAAATGCAAAATGTGTACTCGATATTGTACGCTTATTGTCTTGCTGCTGACTTGTCAGCACAGCTCAGCAACGACGATACGATCATCAGCATCATCATCAGCCACCGCAGCGTATTATTACCAGGAAGTTAACGTAAGTGAATCAACCATCTGTCTTTTTATTGGTTAATTATGAATAATTGCTTATTACATTTTAATTATTCATTCAAAGTTTTTATTATTTTTCAATATTTTACCTGAAAATTGGAGTTAATTTCTTTAAAATTTGAAATGAATTAGTGTATAGTTACATATGCTTGCGCGTGCGTGCCTAGATATGTAATACCTCACGTACAACCATGTTTATTTCAATGTGTTCGTTAGTACGTCTGATATGATTTTTTTGTTTGTGTGATTTTTGTGTGTTGTGTGTGTGTGTGCGCGCGCGCGTGTGTGTATGGTTGTGTGTGTTTCTCTATTAACTACATACCTTAGTATTCGCTATTCACCATTCTTCATCATAAAATCATGATCAGTTATCAAGAAGTCATTTGATGCTTTACGTGCAATTATTAATTAACAATCTGAATAATTAGTCAGTCAATCAATCAATTAACTAATTAGTTAGTTAATTGATTGATTGATTGATTAAGGCATCTCACGTAGGTTTAATTGTGATTCTAATTTATAATTTGTAAACATCCTGTATTGTTTTTTTACTTGCAATTTCTGAGTTGAATATATTATAATTAGATTTAGGCTACTTATGAATGAATTCAACCTATTCGATAGATTTCCACTCTTGATTTAACAAATTTTTGTAATGATTTTCACCTATTCTCTAACCTCCTAGGCATTCTCTAGGCAAACTTTTGCTGTGAGGGCCGCATTGAAAACTATTTTATCTTTGAAGGGCCGCATATGTACTTAAATTGCAAATCTTTTTCGGCCTCGAGGGCCGCGGGCCTTAGTTTGCCCACCCCTTTCCTACACTACTATTATTTTTTTTTTGCTTCATTTATTAGAAAAACAAACTTTTTTACAACTAATAAATAATATGTGACAAATAAAATAAATAACGTAAAAGAAATAAATAACGAGACAGACATGTGTCAACTGACAGACAACTGACACGTAACTGAAAAATATAAAAATAGATTAATAGCAGTGTGATGGTTTAATGATTAGAAACTATCATATAAAATATATGTGAATGTATGTGGTATATTGATCTAAACTCTGTCTGAGTGTGTATGTTTGTGTGTGTGTCTGTGTGTGTATGTGGTGTGTGTGTTTGCAACGTATGTTATGTTTGTGGTGTATTGAATGACGTTCTCTTCTCTCTCTCTCTGGGTAAAATTAATTTTTTAATTGATTCAAATTATAATTTTAATTAGATGTCCCCATTATCGTGTCCACTTGGAACTTATTACTACGCAGCGGTCACCACCGCGACCACCATGACGACCGCAGCCGTCGAAACAGCAGCTACTACAACTACCGGTGTCATATAAAATTTATTTAAAATTTATTTATTTTTTTAATCATTTATTAATTTATTCGTTTGTTTGTTCGTAGGTTCGTTTGTTCGTTCGTTCATTCATTCAGAGTTTTATGAGTTTTTTTTGGAAAATTGTTTTATTTTAATTTGGATAGAAAAATTACATATACATTTTAAAACTTTTGTGTATATTATACATTAACAATTATTTTCCATACCGTTGAATGTATAATAATTAATGGAAAATATATTTACAAATTTGTTGTTTTTCAAAATTTCATGTACGTATATATTTTATGAAAACATTCAGCTTTTGAGGGAGTTTTATTAACCGGGTCGATTCGGACGAATCAGACGCTCTATCCAACTGCAACAACTTCTCCATACAACATTCATTCAAACTACATCAAGAACTGTTATCCTTGCCAGGGCGTCAACAACAACATTGTTAACATCATCAACAACTACCCAATCGCTAACTACATTGGCCTCAACAACGACACTACCAGCAATGCCACCAAAAACATCCACAACACCACTACCACCACCACCGCCAACAGCATCACCACAATCGCAACCACAACTACCACCAATAATATCAACAGTAACGTCATGGCCACCATTCCTAGGTGCGCTGAATGTAGCTACGACTACACGTCGCAAAAACTCATCTGCACCACGTGTGAATCTGGTTACGAATTAACTGCTGGTGGAATCTGTGAGAAAATAAAAATTCCAGTTTGGGGTATTGTTCTGATAGCGTTGGCAGGGGTCTTGGTCATTTTCATCCCTCTGGTCATATTTTTGATTTGTTTCAAGAGAGTTAGTAATGTTTGCTCATTTTAAATTATTATTTTCATGTTGTTGGCAAAATATACATATAATATACATATATTGGTTGTTGTTTCCTTGAGATTTGTTTCAGCGCCTTTGAGATTTGATGAAAGGGCGCTATATAAATCTACCTAATAATATATATATATATATATATTATTAGGAATGGAGAATTTTATTCCATATATTTCCTCGTTTAGACCACTCTACGTTTAAGCAGACTAGAAAATATAGAAGTGTGTGTGTGTGTGTGGTGTGTGTGTGTGTGTGTGTGTGTGTGTGTGTGTGTGTGTGCGTGATGTGATGTCTTGGTGTAACCAGTGTAAGATTTATTTCATAACGTGATGAGTTTCATTTGAACAGCTGACGAACACCATTTATAGAATCAACAAAAGCGAAGCGTTGTAATATTGTGATTAAATTATTTTTCAGATAGTTATTTTAATATAATAATAAACTTACAGACTCAAAATTCAACATGGAGAATCAGTCATATAAAATAAAATTCAAAAGAAACAACAAACTGTGAATGAATTATTTTTATTCAGAAAAACTTCTTCCGCAAACCCGGACCTAAGCCAAAAAATCTGCCTTCGTTGGACGATGATTCCATTAGCTCCTCTAAGGAAGAAATTTTGACATCAAAAAATAAAAACAGTTACGTTCGTGATCCGGTGAGTAGGGATGGGATGGTTGTTCGGTCGGTTGGTTGGTCGGTTTGGTCGGGTTTCATTGGTTTTAAGTGGCTGGTTGGTCGGTCGGTTAGTCAGTTGAAGATGATTGGTTGGTTTCTTCATAGTTTTTTTTCTCAATAAATTGTTGAAAATATCGCATGCGAATTTATTCAACCTTCATGAAATTTTAAAATTAAAATTTCTCCTCCTTAAATAAAGACCAAAAAAGAACACCGAATTCAAGTAACAAATTATGAAGATTGTGTTAGTACATGTCTACCGTTACTTTATAGTTTATACATTCAAATTATCGTAATTAATATTTAATAATATTAATATATTACGCACACACATACACACACATATATACACACACACACATACACACATACACACACGTCAAACTTATATACTTACACATACATAAACACATGGAAACAATTTTTTTTATTGTTTAATTAAATTTTTATCAATTTTTTCAAATTTGGCGGGAATAACACATGGAATCGAAAAAATTAATTAATTGTCAGACGGTGAATCAACAAACCAGATTAAATTTTTGTTGTTGTTGAGTAAATTAACTTTAAATAACAACTAATCTTCGGTGTTTTTATCTTTAAAATTATGATATACATGTTTTAAGCAGCAGACATATTTCTGTCTGTGACATTTGTCAAAACTTTTTACTACAGTAATAAATAAACTTTAATTTCAAAATTGACCGTAGATTATTTTCAGCATTGTTAATTATCAGTAAAAGAAATATTCATAAAATTATAAGCTTAGCAAAAGATAGATTACACAAACTATTACCCATTTACACACATTCATTACACAAACCATTACACATTTACACACATTCATTACACAAACTATTACACATTTACAGAATTACAGAAATAATTACTAACATTATTGCTAAATTTTTTTTCTTTCACATCTTAAAAAGTAATTTTCAAATGCAGCCTCTGCCACCTGTTGTCTCGCCTATAAACGAGGAGATATACGAGAACAGGGTCGGCCGTTTAGACGAGCCTGCCTACGATGTAGACGTTGAAAATAAAGACGACCCAGTATACCAAAATACACTTGTCTCGCACAAGGAGGGAGATGCCAGTAGAGAAGAAAAAGCACGTCGAAAAGGGAAAAAGAAATGGAAAGATGGTTCGGCTGGCATGGAGGAAAGCCAGAATGATGAGATTGTGAGGTGCAAAGTAGACAGTATAATGATAAACAATGAAACCGGAAGTTCTACGGCTTTGTATCCGGTGAGTTTCAACTCCCAACAACCAAAACAACAACAGGATCATTATCGAAAACAACGTAAACAGCGGCAGCAGCAGCAGCAGCAGCAGCCGTCACAGCAACAACAACAGCGTATCGAAAACAAGGCCTATTCAGAAGCCGTTGATAATGATGTGTATGTCAATTATGATGAATGTATTGAATATGACTAATAGATTAGTTCAGGATTACACACACTTACACGCACGCACGCACACACACACACACACAAACTCACATTCTCACACACACTCATACACACACAATGTTATCTTATTTCGAAGTTTACCGACTTACTTATACTGAATGACTTGTCATAAAAAGTCACTTCAAAAAACACAATTGAAATTTTTTTATACACACTTAAACATGCACATACATTCACACATACATTCACACATACAGGCACACATACAGGCACACATAAATACAAGCCGATATATACAGACACAGACATATAAACGCATGAATTCAATCTGAGACATCCAAACCCATTACAACAAATCGATGAATTTATTAATAATCACCAACGTTAATCTGCAACGATTTTTTTTATTTCCAATTGTATTAGTTTTTACAATTATTTCTGGCATTTTTTTAATTTATTAAAAATTACATTTTCTAAGATTCTCATCTCACTGCATTTATTTAAATTCATTCATGTCTACAGAAAAACACACACACAAACACACCAACATGCATACACACACAATGAATATATATATATAATATATACATATATATGCATACATATATATAATGAAATTTGATTTAAATATAAAACTTTTACGCGAAAAACATTGGAAATAACTTTTTAAAAATCGTGTAACATGAAATGAACAAAAGCAGTAGTACAATTCTCAGAGACATTCAACCGCAAGAAACTTGAACTCCCCACCTACATAAGAATGTAATGTTATGCAAATGCACTTGTATTCAAATGAATTAATAGAACTATAAAAATATATTGTTAAGTCGTCATTCTTAACATTTAAACAAAATATTTTGGCCCAGCTGTTAGGCAACTGTATGAATAACGCATTGTTTCCGCTATCAATGATTGTTCAATTTGCTTTTATTCAATCGCTTCAAATTTTTTTTTCAACCCGTTTTAACGTGCTGTCTCACTGTCAATGATTTTTTTAAGTATTATTAATATTTTTATTATTATTATTGATTCACTCTGTTGGCACTACTCAGAGGATTTAACTGTGAATAAATGTTTCCCTGAACAAACAACTTTTTAACTCTCGTCTGAAATTATTTAATAAAACAATCTGCTCCACTGTTGTTTTTGTTGTTCCGTATTTTTGGCAGAGCAACCTGCACACATCTGTCACCCAATTTTGTTTTAATCCTGAGAATTAACATCATTTTTGATGAAACCGAACGCAATGTCGGTATGTCCCACATCAACTTCAGTCTTGCGAAACATCTCCTTCAAATAATCTGGACCATCACCACACCATGTATACTACCACCAAAACCGCCATCTTAAATCTATTCGTTCCATGATCGGCAACCAGTGTTGATTCTCCAACCCCTTTGTCATGTGATTAATCCCGTTTACTGGGACCAGTGGCCAATCTGACGGCAGCATTTTGGATTCCTTTTGGAGTACATGAATACATTTTTCACTAAACCAATAAAATTATTTTTCTTAAATCGTGTTTTCGTTGTAGAAATTTTAAAATATATTCGATAAAGTAAGCGCCTGTTTTAGTTCTTCCGTTCATTTGTTCTTCTGTTCGATGATATCTCAGGTTCTGGTTTGTTCATGAACATTTTGTTCCGTCAGTTTTGTAGTCAGAATCAGAAAAGAGAGTTTGATTTGATGCAGGTTTTATGAATTTAAATATATATGATGATTTGATTTACACAGGTTTTATAAATTAAAATATATATGGTACACAGATATGACATAAGTAAATATAAAATTTTGTATATATTTAAGACACTATACGTATAAAAACTATTTTAATTGTATACGTTGTGTAATACATTAGTCGTTAACTGTTCATTAAAACATTAAAATCATTAAAATTCATGAAATACCTACGTAATTTGCAGTTTTATTAGACCATTATTTGCTTGATAGCTTCCCATAAATTTTGTCAATTTATTCTGATGAGAGCATATCTCACTTTTCCCGCCGTTTACTAATTCAACTAAATTAAGAAAATTAGACGAAAAATGGCGAAATTTACTTTAACAGCCAACAGTTTGGAAGTAAATTTGTGTTTTTTTCTTCAGAAATTTATGAATTCTCCAATTTGTAAATTTGGATGATGGTGTGTTAATGAGATGAATTGAAATTTGAAATGAAAATTGATGCTGGATGATGTTGATGACCTGCCAAGCCAAGGAAAGGATGATTTTTTTTCGGAATTCGTCGGTTTGAAATTAAATTTCACTAACATGATTTTGATCATCTCACAGAAGGTAATGTCGGGACTGCCCTGCGAGAAACCTGTGGTGCAAGTCTTGGTTTGTTGTTATTTTTTTTATATTTTTTTAATTTCCTTTTGGTTTCACTTTCTATTTCTTCATCTACCAGCATTCATTCGTAAGTTAACAATATATGGAATTACGTATATAATAACTTTTAACATTTATTAAATTATTATTGGTTTTTTACTCTTCACTGATTTTTTTCTCCAGGGCCACAAAAAGATTGTTGGGGCGGGCCAGGGCCCGGAAAGGTTCAGGTTGTTGCTCTCGGATGGGGTCCACACTGTCTCATGTTAATACATTCATGCTTCCTTTTTCTCAAGTTGTTTGTTTATTTTTTAATCCTAAATATATAATATTCTATTATAATTTTTTTATAATTATAATGTTATTCGTTTTTCATTTAAAATTTCATTTGCAGCCGTCATGCTGGCCACTCAGCTGAATGACAAAGTGACCAGTGGTCAGATCGACATCAATGCAGTCGTCAGGCTAGATAAGTACATCTGTAATATCATTCAAGCTGAGAAGTAATCACGGTTTCATTGTTTTTCATTGTTTGGTCATTTTTTTTCTTAGCCTATTTTATTACTATTGATTTAGGTTAGGAGTATTTATTTATAATTTATTTTAATTCTTTATTTATTATGAATTATAAATTATTAATTTGTGAGTTCATAATTTATTATGAATTATAATCAGAATAATTTATGATTCATAATTGAATGTCATGAACAGACGTGTTGTGGTTGTCCTAGAGTTGACAGTGCTGGGCGTGAGTTCAATTGTAGGTGGAAAGATTGGTAATCCCCAGCCATACAAGCAGCAAGCAGCTGGTGAACTGACCAATAGCAATGTGACAGCTGCTACTGCAGCTGCTGATCTGAGGCAGCAGTTACCTCTGCAAGCACAGAACAACAACAGTAATAATAATTCTGGTTGGTTGCTATGGCGATAAGGATGATGAGGCTTATGATGATTATTAATGATGATTCTAGTTAATTGTTACGATGATGTCTACTAAGCTGATGAAATATGAAATTTTTTTTACAGAACTTGTCGTGTTAATATAGTTGCAATCATTTTCTCACAATAGTGACATTAACAATGGTAATAAATAACCCAACGTAAGCATCAACAAAAATAACTTTTGGAAAATGAGTATATTAGATTTTTAAATTTAAAAATAATTTGTAGGTTTCAGCGGCAAAAGCCAATTTGACAACACCTCAGCCAAGCAACAACAACAGAGGACACAATCATCAACTTCGTCATCTGTGTCGCAACAGATTAACAAAAACAATTCATCCATGCTGGACACCCCTTCAAAGATCACTTCCATTTCTTCACTCAACCCATATCTTAACAGGTGATATGTTGCTCTATGTATGTTATGTTCAACCTCTGAAGCAAGTGCACATGTTAATATAGTTGCAATCATTTTCTCACAATAGTGACATTAACAATGGTAATAAATAACCCAACGTAAGCATCAACAAAAATAATTTTTGGAAAATGAGTATATTAGATTTTTAAATTTAAAAATAATTTGTAGGTTTCAGCGGCCTTCAGATTGACCTTTAACCTTATTAACCCCTATGATTTGATGGTTTTTTTAAAATGGGAACATAAATTGTAATGAATAAATTCAAAATAAATGGTTAAATTTAAAATAAAATATTAAATATATTGATTCTAATAGAACAAAACCAATTCTAAATGTTAAATAATCATTAATCATCTGAATAATCTTGTTAAAATAATTTCCAATTTTTTTGTAGAATAATTCTTTCTTTAAATTGAAAAAATTAAACTTTCTCCAGATGGACTATAAAAGCGAGAGTGACCCAGAAATCCTCAATAAAAACCTGGAGCAACTCAAAAGGTGAAGGTAAATTGTTCTCGATGAATCTCATCGACCAGTCGGGCGAGATCCGAGCCACCTTGTTCAAAAACGAGGTTGACAAGTTCTTTGATATGATAGAAGTCAACAAGGTAATTCAAACAATTAATTAATTAATCATTAAAAAAAAAATTTATCTAAATTTAATTTCAATCTAATTAGACTATTCTACCTGATTTTTCTCAATCAATTGTTAATGTTATTAATTTTTCATTAAGTGCCATTAAAGATAGCTCAGTAAAACTTGAAAACGTTTTGCTCTTGAAAGATGTCAAACAATTTGGCTTAATTTTTCTCAATTAGGGCAAATTTTAATAGCTAATTAGATTAATTTTTCAATGTTTATTTAAATAAAACTTGAAACTTTTATTCTTGGAAGGTGTATTTCATAAGGAAGGCCCAATTGAAAATAGCCAACAAGCAGTTCTCCAACCTGAACAATGATTTTGAACTGACATTCACTGGTGAGACGGAGGTGATCCCATGTGCTGATGGTGAGGATTGTGATGATGACGGCCAGCAACTTCCTTCCATCAGTTTCAATTTTGTCGGAATTGACAAGTTTGAACAAATGCAGCCGAATGTTATCGTCGGTCGGGATTTTTTTTATTCTTTGTTTTGATTTTTATAAAAAAATTGTATTTTTTTTCCTGCTTTTTATTAGGCTTTTTTAGTTCTAAGTATTTTTAGCTTTGTCGTTTATGAACTTCTTGTTTTGGTTCATTCATTTATTTAACATTTGCTGTAAAGTCATTTACAATTTAAATGTTATGATTTTTTATTCACTATATTCAACTGCCATTTCACAAAATCGTCTGTTTAAAAATCAAATCATGCATCACAGAATCTTAAAATTATTTGTAGAAAAATCTGGTAGCACAAAGCATCATTAAATCTTTAAAACCCAACACAAACTGTTCAGATGTGATAGCAGTTGTGAAGGACTGTGGCGACTTGAAGGTCGTGACCCAGAGACAATCAAACAAGGAGATCAAGAAGAGGGACATCACACTCGTTGACCAGAGCAAAGTTCAAGTTACACTGACACTTTGGGGAGATTATGTTGGTCTATCGGTTCTTTTTTAAATTATAAATTTGTGGTTCTTTTTCGTATTTTTAAATTTTTATTTTTTGGTTATTGTTGCCAAATCTGGTCTAATTAGAAATATTTCTGTTAAATTTAACATGTTTGCTATGTTTTAGTACCATCAGCACTTACTTTATCAGGCTTTGCTTACTATATCGCTGTTTTCTTCTCTTTTTTTGTTGGTGCTGTTCTTACTCCTCTGACTTGTATTTATTTCGTTCATTATTCATCATCTGTTTATTTATAAATCTTATTTATTTGTAAATTTTATTTATTCATTCATTTGTTTATTTATTTATACATGCAAATTTTTTAAGGCCGAATCTTTCAAGGCTGAAGGCAATCCTGTTTTAGCCATCAAGGGCGTCCGTTTAACTGATTTTGGAGGTAGTTTTTTGTAATTTTTGTTTAATAAAATTTCATTGTTTTGCTACTCTGTACTTTCTTTATCAAACATTTAATTCATTAAAATGAGCCTTCAATAAACTAGCTAATGTTGTCATTGATGAGTAACTATTACATTTAAAAAATTTGAATATCTTGAAGAAAATCTTCAACCTTAGAAACAACCAACCGATGCAGGTCGTTCTCTCAGCCAGTCAAACAATTCACAAATACTGGAGAACCCAGACTTCCCTGAATGTCATTCACTGAGAGGCTGGTTCGATAATGTCGGTTGCAGTGCCGAGTACTCCGAGTACAAGAAAGAACAGACCTCTTCATTTGGGGGACCTCTGCTCTACAAGACGATGCTGGAGTCAAAGAATGAACTGCATGATGGTGAGGCTGCCAACTATTTCATGGCTACTGCCACCATTCCTGTCTTCAAGAAAGACAACAGTCTTTACAAGGTTAGTGATGATGATGAGGGGGAAGATGATGGAACTACTCATAACGATTATTTTCACTAATTTTCTATTTAGATCTGTTTGTCGATTACCATCTTGTTCGCCTTTTAATCCAGGCCTGCCCCCAGCCAGATTGCAACAAGAAGGTAGTAGATTGTGGCAACTCTTCTTACAGATGTGAAAAATGCTCCAAAGAGTTTGGCACGTTTAAGTGGAGACTCATACTCCAGATGAACATTAGTGACTTTACAGAGAGCCAGTGGGTGACAGCCTTCAACGAGGTCGCTGAAACCATCCTCAACATTAAAGCTGATGAGTTGGGTGCTCTCAAAGATACGGTCGAACTTTTGTTTTTGTCATTTTCTCTATAAACATGTTCTTAGTTTTACACTTTTAATTTATTTTTTCATTATTTGCTGGCTTTTTGTTAGTGGTCCGTGAAATTAAAGATTGACGTCTCATCTCTCAATCAATCCAAACAGGACTCCACACGATTTGATCAGGTTTTCACTAACGCCAGTTTCTCTACATTTACCTTCAAGCTGAGATCAAAAGTAGAGAAATATAATGTTTGTATATTCTACATTCAATTATAAAAGATAGTTCTTAAATTTAATTATTACATTCAATTAATGTCAATTTTTTAAATTATCTCTAAATTTATACTAATTTTTTACCGCTAATAAGGATGAAAGTCGTTTGAAGACAGCATGCATACAGGCCACACCAATCAGTTACGCTGATGAAAACAAACGTCTGATTTTAATTTTGGAAAAATATCTACAGTGAGCGTACGTACATACACTATACAAATTCCTGAGTGTAATTCATGTATGTTGTTGGTGTTGACCTTTTTGTTTATACAAAACTTTAACATTTGACTCTTATTATTTGTTTGAATATTATTTTGTAATGTTTTTTTTTTACATTTAGCACGAAGTTTGTTTGTCTTTGATGTTGTTCAGTATACAGTGATTTTGGTCATTTCTGATTATTTTGTTCATTGTCTTGTTAGAAAAAAATTATAATTGTGATTTTTCTTTTAGTTTTTACAAATTGGTTTAGAAATTGTAATTGGACAATCTGATTCGTTGCCAGAAAGGTCCTCTCAAAATTTTTAACTGCAGTACCTATGCGATGTGCCTTTCCTAACAATTACTCAAGATAATAAAACTAAAACTCTATATTATGCTGGTAGTACCTAAATTTAACGCAAATTTTTTATTAAGTTACTGTCGATAAAATCGGTTATGTATTTTATTTCAAAAAACGAAACGAAAACAACACCTTTTATGAGCGATTTTATTTCAATAAGTTTTTAATATTTTCAGTTTAGTGTTATTTTATCAAGTTTTTATATAGTGTTGTTATAAAAGTTTAGCGAAATTAATCCAGACAGCTGCGTCTTCTTCATTGAAGCGTTCCAGGGTGGTTTCACCTTCGAACTTGTCCTGCCACAAGCGAAAATTCTCTTCATCAAAATTTAATTTAGCAAAATAAAAAACAAATTTAAAAGTTATTTAAAGTTGGTATAAAGTTGCCTTTTAATGAAATCCTAACAAATGATTGAAATTTTTCAAGCGTGGTCTTATCAAAACGACTTTATATTCCAAAAAAACACCAAAAAACAAAACTTGAGAGCAAATGAAGTTATAGGAAAAGAAAGATGAAAATATAAAAGCCAGAACACGTTAATTTTAAATTTGAAAATCAAACATTCATTCATTTGACTTTAATGCTAGGTAAGTTATGTACAAAATTTTTTCAAAACAACTCATTTTTATCGGACTCATTAATTATTTTCTTATTGTTTTCATCAAATGTTTGCATTTCAAACGTCAATTTCTTTTATTACGTAAACAAATAATTTGAAAAAAAACATGTTACAAAATTTAAAAAACCTGATAATTAAAATTGACGTTAAATGCACACATCAACCAGAAAACTATAAAAATGTCCTGTCGCGTTCATCATTTTTTAACACCAGTTAGCCAATGGTTCAACAAACCTACTCAACCGCTTATAAAAATGTACTCCAAAATGAATCAAAAGAAGTCCATTAGAGAACTAGATAAGCTTTATATGAATTCCGTTGATCAATCTACTCCACATTTTTGGGCCAGACATATCGCAGCAGGATGTACTTATCTAAGACCAGAAATAATTATAGGAGAAACGGCTACAGTTACAATTACGGTGTTGGTTACAGAAAAAAATAAGGCTACGGTGGAAACATTAAGGAAAACAACCACAAAAAGGTTGACCACAACTATAAAAAACAGATCTAAATCAGAAATTGCATTAGCATTTTTGTTCATTGCCTTGTCAATTTTTGGTTTCATCTTTGTAAGGGCAATACTTATGAAGAAGAAAAATGACGAAGAAGCAAAAGCAGTTGGAGGTGCTGCTCATGATCATAAAAAAAAGAAACAGTTGAAAGGTGGAAGTGCCCACAAAATGGGAGGTAGCGCCCATCACATGGGGGGCAGTGCTCATCACATGGGAGGCAGCGCTCATCACATGGGAGGTAGTGCCCACCACATGGGAGGTAGTGCCCACCACATTGGAGGTAGTGCCCACCACATGGGAGGTAGCGCCCACCACATGGGAGGTAGCGCCCACCACATGGGAGGTAGCGCCCACCACATGGGAGGTAGCGCCCACCACATGGGAGGTAGCGCCCATCACATGGGAGGTAGCGCCCACCACATGGGAGGCAGCGCCCACCACATGGGAGGTAGCGCCCACCACATGGGAGGTAGTGCCCACCACATGGGAGGTAGCGCTCATCACATGGGGGGTAGTGCCCATCACATGGGGGGTAGCGCCCATCACATGGGGGGTAGTGCCCATCACATGGGGGGTAGTGCCCATCACATGGGGGGTAGTGCTCATCAAATGGGAGGCAGCGCTCATCATATGGGTGAAAGTGGTCCTAAATCTGGAGGTAGTACTCATCATGCTGACGCCGATGATGGTGATTAATAAAATAACACTACTTTTATACCTTTTCTATAACATACATTTTTCAAATTCAGTGTTTTCATTTGAACATCGTTAAACAACGCCGTTCCTTGCTATATTTTGTTCTGTGGCTCAATAAACTTGAAAAATGTGTAACTGATTTTTTGATCATTTTTTCAATAAAAATTCTCTTCAATTTATTCCTGGAAAAAGAATAGGTATGCATAGTATAAAATCACTCATATTATTTTTTTTTATTTGAAAAAAATATTTCAGCCTAAACGTGTAATGGAAAGTTACTGAAAAATTAATAAAATTTGCACTATAGACAAAAATATGTCTAGTTGATAAAAACCTATTTTTTCGAATACTATGAGTTTCATAGGGCTGAAGTACGCGGGGTGCTACGTAAGACGGTATGATTATACAGTTATTGTTTCTCTTAACCTTATCCCACCTGGAGACATCCCATACAGTTTGTGCTTGCATACACTTAACGAACCTGACACTATGACTTTGCCAAGAACTTCTGTCAGTTTGTCAGTATGCGTGACCAAGAATTGTTTGAACCAAACCAGCGATATTATCCTGATTTAAACGCTTTAAAACTTGATGGAGCATAGAATCTACTTTAGACGATGCCTGCAATAAGAAAATAAAAATTTTCGAACATTTATAGATTACAACGACATTGTCGGTCATCTCTTTCTGGCACATCGATGTCAATAATGAAATAGCAATAACTAAAATCTGTAATATGGAGATTTAATTTTAGTAGTACTTTTCTATAAAAATTGAGGTCCTGAAATTTGTAATTTGTCTATGGCCCACCGAAAATATAACCGAACTTGTCAACTGCCATCAGCTTGTCCATTGAATTGATAGTTTCAAATCATTATTACATTATAACTATAAATACAACATTACTCATTAGACGTTTTTATTTATTGCATTTTTACACATTCAAGTATTGGATAAAGTTTTTGAAAATTGGCTGGATGAAATAATTATCCAAAACTTGCATCTTTTTATAAAATTTTAAAATTCTGATTTATAATTTCAATAATTTATTCTGTTATGTTCTGGAACATAGTTGTATGATGTTCAACTTTGACAAACGGATGATCTGACTTATTTATACATTTTTACACATTTATACGCATTAATTCAACGTTTGCATATTTACCTAATATCCCATCCCTATGAGGTTATCAAAACTTTCGGTTGATTTTTTTCAAACTTCGCTGCAAAAGAATCCAGAACTTTAAAATTGTCTACTTTGGTTAAATAACATAAGCACCGCACAATATTCACTTTGTACTGTTGTAAAACGGTTTAACTACTCTTTCTATAAATGTCAACAAAAATTTAATAGTTTTATCCTTTTAGTTGCGAGGCATTTTCAATATAATTTACTACTTTCTTTTATTCTATTGTAAAATTTTAAATAAAGAAACCAATCATAAACTTTCATTAATTAGTAATAATTAATTGTATGGATTTACAACAAAGAATTATTTGTTGCGACGCTTCTAATAAAAACTATTTTTGTGTGAACACCATGATTTCTGTTAAATTTCATTAGTATAAAAGGCTTCAAGAACCGAAATGATCATTACAGGTATCTTTACCACACTCACTGCTAATAAACTTCAGCTAGAAAATGAATGCAGATGATATTGAAAAATGTTCAATTTGTTGGAACATTATAAAGCAAGAATCGAGATCTGTCATTATGGGTTGTCCACACAAATACTGCTTCAATTGCATAAAAAAATTGGTGCAGGAAGAACCCAACGTGCCCTCAATGCAAGAAAGTTTTTAAAACAATCTTATTTAACATAACTGCAGAACATTGCGACACGTATGACCTGCGAACGCCTAGGTAAGCCAATTTTTTTATTCTCCATAATAATTGCAATGATATTTTAAAACTATTGTTTATTTTGATTTATAACAAAATTTAATTTTCAAAATTTTTGAAGAAATTTTTGAATAATAATTTTTGAACAAAGCAGGACAAACAATGTAGGACTTGCAGGGAATATCCGAACCGATCCAGAGTTGTCAATGGATTCAACAACCAGTTTGATGAACGAAAAGGTACAATGCATCAACTTCAAAGAATAGTAATATGTAATATGTTTTTATATTACGTTTTTAAAACTCGATTATTACGGTAAAAACAGTAAGCTGTGTAAACGCTGCTCCCTTGTTCCGTCCAATCGTTCAATCGTATATTGATCATTAATTTTAAATTTGACATATTTAGACAGATCAAGAATACCAATTTTTGTGGTTGTGGTGACAGAAAACTGAGAAAAGCCAAAAAACTGGACCCCAGGACCCTGTCCAGGATATCGCTATTGAAGATTAAAAGTAGTGACAGAACACTTTAGCGATATGTATGGATATGTATACGGTACACATGCATGCTGCGCGAGTGTTGAGTAGAGTTGATTCGAAGTTTTAAGTGAATGAACGTTATCAAATCGTAGTTTCTGAACGTTATTAATTGAATTGAATTTTGAATTGAAACAATCTTTTATTCAGCAAAATATCACAATGATAAATTACTAGGAGACCAGAAGTTTTCACTTGATTTCACTTCACGTTATTAATTGTAATCTTGAACGTTATTAAATCGTAGTTTCTGAACGTTATTAAATTGTAGTCTCGTAGTTATTAAATTTAAAGTAACAAATAAAAATTCAATCATTAAAATAAAATTGCGTGAATCTAACTTTGATGCGGGAAAACATATGTGCAACATTAAAATTAGTTTAAAACATAAAAACAAAAATACTAACACAACAATAGTTTCTATAGTGAATTTGCGTTTTAAATTTAACGAGTTGTATTAATTAATTAATAATAAATTAAGTTAACAAAAACTTTTATACAGTCGTTAACGGTATGTAGAAATTTACTTGAGAAAAATAGGCCGAATTAAACCTTTTCTTTGTATATATTTTCAGTCAGTGTATAAATTGTATAATAATTATTTGTGTAAATACGATGTTATATTACGTTTGCCATGTAAATATCCCAATCAAATCTTTGTATATTTCACCAATCCCACATACGTCGTGTGTGTTTTTATTTTATCTCGTTATAAATTTAATTCAACCGAACAGCGTAGAGTTTATAATAGATTTTAATAATTTTTAACAGTTTAAATAGCTTTAACGACAGTTTTTGTTTATGATCAGTAATGTTTAATTTTCAACATTTATTTGTCATTTATTAAACAATACAATTGTTTTAATTCCTTATCATTGTTATTATTAATATTGTTACACTGAGATTGAAAGACAAATAAAAATAGTTTTACTTCAGAGGTGGGCAAACTACAGCTATTGTTCGACCAAAAAAGATCCCATTGCGACCATAAAAAAGGCCGTCAGCCACATATTACGTGACAAAAAAAGCCCAAAAATTTGCTATTTGAATACATATGTGACCCTTCAAAGGTCAAATAGTTCTCAAGCAAAAAGTTCGCCCACCCATGCACTAATAACACTAATGCCTTATAAAACTTTATTACCAATTAAAATTAAGATAAAACTAATTCAAATAAAAAAACACTAAGAATGAATTAAATTCACAATAATGTGATTTAGAATTTATTTCAAAATTTTCCTTCAATTACTTAAACAAAAAAAACATTTGAAAGGATATTTACAAAAAAGGACTAAGAAACAAAAAAGAAAACACAATTTTTTAGCATTTCTAACAATTTGTTCGCATAATCAGCGATATTTTCAACAGTATATTTATTAATCATTATTATTGAAAATATTATTTATTTAATGATAAAAAAGGAATCTAGATGAAAAAGCTTACTTGAAAAAGCGCTTATCATGGACTTGTTCGTATTTGTTTGTATCATGTCTATATCACGTTTGTATCATGTTTGTATCACGTTTGTATCACGTTTGTATCACGTTTGTATCATGTTTGTATCACGTTTGTATCACGTTTGTATCATGTTTGTATTGTATGCATATTACGTGTTTGTGCGCACAAAACAAAACAATCACCTAAACATGAAAAGTAGACGATACAAAGCTACCCACCTATGCATGCATGTATATGTGTGTTTGTATGTATGTACGTATGTATGTACGTTTTTAACTTATGTATGTATGTGTTTGTATTTTATGTATGTGTGTACGCTTGAATTATTATAGAACTTTCTAAATAAAAAATTAAAAATAGAAAAAGTGCGTATGTAGAGAGGCTAATAGAACCTATGCTTGCGAGTATTTACGCTAAAAAATGCAACCATGGAAAAGATATAAAATTGAATTTTTAAGAAAACAAACAAGTGAAGAAGAAGAAGCACTTATTTGAACGGCATTTAGCGAGAAGCCCCCTCGCCGCGTCAAGACAGCCGTTCATGAGGGGGTTAATAATAAAATAACAGTCTAGAAATAATAAGTAACGAATGTCTAGACATAACTAAAATAAGATTTACGAAAATAATATTGTGCTGATTGTCGTGTTTGATTGCTGATGTTGGTGTTGTGTTGAACAAAAAACAAACAAAAGACAATACAAAAAAAACTAGAAAGTAAGAATGAAAGAATAGAGTTCTTAACTTACCTATGTTCACTAAATTAACTCGCCTACCTATGTTCAATTAGCTCAACTTACTAATTAATCCTACCTATTTGTACAATTACGAAGAAAAAAGTAAGGAAAAAAGGATAAAACACCAAGCAAACAAAACAACGAATGTATGTATGAATGTATGTATGTGTGTGGGTGTGTGTGTGTGTGCGTGGTGTGTGTGTGTATGTGTTACTAATAATACCCGTAAAATAAACGAATAGGCCTAGAAATAATAAATAAAATATGATATAACGAAAATAATATTGTGTTGATTGTTTTGTTTGATTGCTTTTGTTGGTGTTGTGTTGAACAAAAAACAAACAAAAGACAATACAAAAACTAGAAGGTAAGAATAAAAGAATAGAGCTCCTAACTTACCTATGTTCACTAAATTAACTCACCTACCTATGTTCAATTAGCTTAACTTACGAATTACTCCTACCTATTTGTACGATTACGAAGAAAAAAGTAAGGAAAAAAGGATAAAACACCAAGCAAACAAAACAACGAATGTATGTGTGTGTATGTATGCATGTATGAATGTATGTATGTATAACCGCGCAATAATAATATCAATAAAATAAACGAATAAATCTAGAAATAATAAGCAACGAATACGTCTAGAAATAATAAATAAAATATGATAATGAAACTTAACCAAAATATAACGAAAATAATATTGTGTTGATTGTTGTGTTTGATTGCTATTGTTGGTGTTGAACAAAAAACAAACAAAAGACAATACAAATAAACTAGAAAGTAAGAATGAAAGAATAGAGTTCCTAACTTACCTATGTTCACTAAATTAACTCACCTACCTATGCTCAACTAGCTCAACTTACGAATTAATCCTACCTATTTGTACGATTACGAAGAAAAAAGCAAGAAAAAGAGGATAAAACATCAAGCAAACAAAACAATGAATGTATGTGTGTATGTCTGTATGAATGTATGTGTGTGTTTATGTATGACCGCGCAATATTAATAACGATTGCATAAACAAATAAATCTAGAAATAATAAGTAACGAATGAAATAACGAATATTTCTAGAAATAATAAAATAAAAAAATAAGAAATAAAAAAATGAGACCCGACGCTAAGGGAACGCCCTAAACCGCCCGGTCTGATCTCAACGTGTTCTCGGCTCCTATTTATACCAGTTCCATTCATATATTCATATAATTTCAACCATTGACATCATTAAAATATGTTATTTAATGTATATGAAACATTATTATGAGTGTTTAACAACAATCATATTAACTATACTAAAATGAATTCAACGAACGCCTACGGACTTCCTGATGGGATGGTTCGAGTTTGTGTACACGTTTATCTAGTTGAATTCAAATTTAATCGTGATCATAACTTTTTCACATAACAATTGAAAAATGAAAATATGTATTTCTTTTATTTAATATCTTTAATATATTATACTCACAATCAATTCAATCATTCACATCCGTGAAAAGTTTATTGATTTAATGTTATTGATTTTTTCATTTTTCATATTAATCTTCACAACAGAGCTACTTAAACTTCGAAACATTCTGATTGACTGGTTGGAACTGCTGTATTTCTTTTATCTTAAAATAACCTTAGTAATTATCTGTGGACATGGATACTAAATACTATATGTATATATATATATATATATATATATATATATATATATATATATATATATATATATAAACCAACAGTAATCAGTGTTAAATATGTATGTATATACATATATAATGCATGTGCGCGCGTTTCAAATTATTTCGAGAGAATTCAAAATAATATGACACCACACACCTTACTTTACTATAAATGTATAATTTAAATGTATAAATATAAAATATAAATATATTTGATAACTGCACATATCTATCTATCTGATTATTTATTTAGTTTTGTGTGCATATAATAATTGGTAAAATTAATTTTATTGGAATCGAATGTAATGTTAATACCGGCTAATTTACCATCGTACATTTCATTATTTTTTACTCTTAAAATGACGTCATTTCCGCCAATGATTTTGCAATAAAGTGTCAATCCTATTTTAATAATATTTTGACATTATTTTGTGAAATTATCATTTTATTGAACTCCAAAAAAAAAATTTTGTCAAAAAAGTTTTAGCCAGTTGGAACGCATACATTCATAGTTTGATTGCAGACATACATAGTTTGAATGAATAGCTGAAACCATATACAAGTAAATGTCGCCAACAATCCTTCTTTTAATAAGGAGTTTGTTGTTTATTAGTAAAATGACGTTATTTCCGCCAACTATTCCACAACACATACACACTACATTCTTTGTCGTTGTTATTAATGTTTGTTTCATAATTTACTTTTTCTTTCTTTCTCTTTTTTACTTCGTAATCGTAGAAATTGGTAGGATAATTTGAACGTATTGAGAATGGAAAAATGAGTCAAACAAACAAACAAACAAACAAACAAACAAACAAACAAACAAACAAACAAACAAACAAACAAACAAACAAACAAACAAACAAACAAACAAACAAACAAACAAACAAACAAACAAACAAACAAACAAACAAACAAACAAACAAACAAACAAACAAACAAACAAACAAACAAACAAACAAACAAACAAACACACAGACAGACAGACAGACAGACAGACAGACAGACAGATAGACAGACAATCAAATAAACTAACTAACAATTTGGCAAACTATGCAAACAATCAGACAGACAAAAACATACTAACAAGAAAATAAATATATATTTCTATGTGTGTGTGTGTGTGTGTGTGTGTGTGTGTGTGTGTGTGTGTGTGTGTGTGTGTGTGTGTGTGTGTGTGTGTGTATGTATGTGTGTGTGTGGTATACACATGAAATGAAAGAAATAAAATAAACCAAAATTTTATTTAAAACGATCCTGTTAAAGATAAGCTTTGTGTTGGAATTAATTTAAATATCTCTATGGAAACCATGGAGGATATATATAATTTATCCATGATGGAAACCGTGTGAATGACTGAATAGAGAACGAACGAACGAACGTTGTTTAAGTGCAATAATATAATGATAGGAAAATTGTTAGTGTATCAATAGGTAAGTTTTTAATCAAAACTAAATGGATTCACAGTTTTTTGTCGATGGTTACATAAGAACTCAGAGCATACGATTTTTAACAATTATCAATGAATAAATTTCAAAATACGCGAACTGCATTCTTCATGTGTATCTATGGTTTTTTAAGAAAAATTTAACAGTTTCATCTGTTTTGACAAACCGTTAAAATTTCACTTTCTATAGTTCAATTTCCCAATTTTTCAAAAAATTCTCCCATTCCTGGTAATATCTAGATTCATTTTTCACTCTGCTTATTGAATAGATTATTTTGAGTTTAATATTTCGATCGACAATTTTACCTGATTAGAGTGCAAAAGTTGGTATTAAATTTGATTTGATTGCATTTTATAATTTATTATATTTAAAGAAAAGAGCAAATTTATATTTAGTATTAGTAAATTTTTAATTGAATTTCGTTTCAAAATTAGAGAGTAATTTTTATTCATAATTAAATTATTTAGTTTTTATTGTCAATAGTAATATTATTATTAAATTAATAATAGTTATAATAATTTAATTAAATTATAATAATTTATTTTATTCTCTTGACTGAAATTAATGTTAATATATAAATGATGCTTTTTCTGCATGAGATTTTTTGCTATACTTCACTTTATTAATGATGCAGTAATGGATCATGAATGTAATGCTGTGTTGCTGACAAATTGATTGAATTAAAAAAAATTGAAATAATTTGGGAGCTTATTTTGCAAGTTTAAAAGAATGAATTAATTTAATTTAAAAGTTAATTCAAAATGTAAGTATTAAATAGAATATAAAATTATAAATAATCAAGTAATTTTTTTTAATAATCATGAAAATCAGAAATGAAGTCGTTGGATTCTGTTGTGATTAGGAAGATGACAGAAATGCCATTCGGTAGAGACATGAGGTTTGATTCTAAGATAAAAAAATAGTGAGTTAATTTTAAATAATTATAATTAAATATTATGCTTGTTTAGCCAAATAAAGATTAATCACATTAATAATTATTTATTCTTAATTAGTATTAACTATTAAGTACTAATTTAAAATAATTAACCCCTCATCAAATACTAAATAGTGTGAATAATAATATTAAATAGCAATATAAGTGGCGTTTATTAATAATACTTTCAATAAACATCATTTTAAATACAATTTTAATTTATCACTAGCATTTTTGAAGAGTAATTTTTTTAGAGGAGTTTAAATTACTAACTATATTTAGTTACTTTCTGGACCACAAGAATCGATCGACATCCTGGGATGATCCTCGTCTAGTTCTTTGGAAAGAGTGGGTCGATGTTTCGGTTGGTTTTAACATCTCATTAACATTACCATTAACATCTCATTAACATTTCTCATTAACATATTTCATTAACATTTCCAATTAACACCTCATTAACATTTTCCATTAACTTCTCATTGACATTTTCCATTAACATTTCATTAACATTTCCCATTAACATAATTTATAAATTGCAGATGAAATTGGGGGACAGTCAGTTGAGAGACGAGAGGATCATCAATACCATACATCCTACAGTCTGCCCTTCCCTGATAAGGTGCATATTCATTGCAACCAATTTCAACGTTCACCAGACCTGTAAGATACTTTCTGATATGGGCTACAACGAAATGGAGGTTTGTGTGTGTATCTGTCTGTGTGTATGTGTGTTTGTTTGTTTGCTTTGTGTGTGTGTTTGTGTTTGATTGATTGTTTGTTTGTGTGTAAGTTTGTTTGAACGTGTGTTTTATTTGTTGCAAATTGTATTTTTGTCAGAATTTTCTAATAATTTTGTTGAAATAGTATAAAATTGTTGTACCTATTGTTGATACTGGCCATTGCAGTTTCAACTACATTAGCTGGCAATTTTCTATTTAGTGTAGAATAATGAATTTTATTTTTTATTAGTTATTATTTGCTATTATTATTGTTGTTAATAATTTGTACACTTTTTTACCTTGTGACCTTCAGAGCCTCATTAATGCCAAGGCCAAATTGAAGACCTGCTTGTCTCCAAATCCTGCTTCTTCAGGTCGAGAGTTGGGGCTGAGGCACTTGTGGTGATCATGATAATGATTTTTGAATCTGTGGCGCTCATGATGATGATGGTGATGATAGTGATGATGATGATGATAATGATAGTGATGGTGATAAAGTTTGTTTCTTTAAATTATTATATTGGTATAATAACCAGTAGTGATGAATTGTGTCATCAGTTCATCAGTTAATGTGATGAGAGATTGGATGTGTTACAGATCTACTCTTTCACATTATCGCATTAGCATCACATAACATCTCAATAGCACACATCACAACCATAATAGATGCTACTGGCCAGCAGCAGCAGCAGCAACAGGCAGCTGCCAAAACGACTACAACCACCAGTTCGAGCATGTCAGTTCCGAAATCAGCAGCAGTAGTAGGAGGAGGTAGTAGCAGCAGTTCGACCACACCCAGAACCACTACGCCGAAGTCGTCCACTCCACAAACTGCTACCCCCAAACTCAGCAACAAAAAAAATGCCTCTCTACCCTACAGCAATTCAGAGTCAGTTTTTTCATTTCTGAATCCTGAGTTGGATTTTTATTTTTTGTCAATTCGTAAATTATTTTTCATCTTTCTGCAGTTCATTTTTAACTTTTATAGATTTTTTAAAATGGAGCATTTTTATATTATTATCAGCGTTTTTTTCATGGCTTTTTTCAGAAAGAGGATCAAAATCATTTTAACAGTTTTGGTGATTATAATAATAATTTTTTAATCATTTAAAATTTTGAAATCACAGAATGGAAGAAGACATTACGAGTAAGAAACTTATTGCCTCACAAACCATCCATCCATTCATTCATTCATTCATTCATTCATTCATTCATTCATTCATTCATTTATTCATTCATTCATTCATTCATTCATTCATTCATTCATTCATTCATTTTTTTAATGTATTTTATTATTACTTTATTAAATGCAATAGACGGGGATCTCTTTTCGCAGTCGAACCCAGTGCCCGCAACAGCAGAACCAGGCACCTTACCCAATACACCACCTCACTGCCCAATTATTAAATGACGATTTCTTGAATTTTTTTTTCTCATTCTAATTTTTTCCCTTAGAAGTTCTTCAGATCCTCGAGAGCACTTCACTAAATAGGTTTATTATTATTATTTATATTTTTATTATTATCATTATTATTATTATTATTATTATTATTAGTAGTAGTAGTAGTATTAACAATAAGTAATAATCTGTTAATTAATAATTAATTTGTTTTTAATAAATAAATTAATTAATTAATTATTTAATATAGTTCATAATTATTTTATAACCAGCGGTGAGATAGTGGAGGAGACGGCCTATGAATCTTCAGACCCAACGTCATCATCTTCCTCTCTGGTAGCAGTTCATTTCGTTTGATCATATTTTTAATTTTTTAATTTATATTTATTTTTATTGCTATTAATAATATAATAATAATAATAATTATTATTATTGTAATTATTTTGTTATAATTTTTCTTCCTAAACCAAAATGTTCAAATCCTAATGTCAGACGAATACGCCGAGAAAGATGAATTATGTTGGTCCCAACAAAAATTTGTGTGTTGGTCCTAATCCTACTCTTGCTTGGTTAGTGAGTGATGTTTGTTTGTGCCATTATGTGTGAGTGTATGTGGTGATATGGGCGTGAATGTGTGTGTCTGTGTTTTATATGTGTGCGTGGTGTATGTATGCAAATGTGCTTTTTATATGCTTTTTATGTGTGTGTGTGTTTGTGTGGTTTTTGTTGTATTGTGTGCAGTTGTTAAACTCAATTAAGTAATCTGATAAAAGCCAGATTTTGTCTATGCCGTTGTAGTTGTATTATTAAGGTTCTACATCAATTACACAACATCAACAATAACAAAATAAATTTAAAAGTGGGCCAGATCCTGTGAACCATCAGGGGCCCGATCCACAAAATGTGCAGGGCCCACAGGGCAGTAACCACGTCAAAGATGATGAATAGACATTATGGTGTGTTGTTGAGCTTTATATATTGTTCACATTTTTAGTAGATGAATACCATTTTTTTTTTAACTTAATGTTGTTATATGTTGTTTTTGGCATGTTGAATAAATATATAAATAATAGTTATATGAACATAAAAATACACAAATACAATATTGTAATGTATGTTAATTTTTATCAGTTTGTGTGTTTCAAATAACAACTCTACTGCATTTCTAATTTTTATAGATATTGAAATTAAGCCTCTATATCTATGTTCATTCTATGTTAATTTCATACACTTATTAAATGTGTTTGTATGTATTTTAATGCTTGAACTTGTTGTACTCATACGTAAATACTTACCTTTTATTTTGAATGTCAGTAGTTCATCATTGTTATTGGACAATTTTAAATTTTATTTTTTAATATTTTATATTTGTCTATATCTCTATTTACATGTATACCTACTTAGATGTTTATACACGAAGAGATGTTTGTCTATATGTCTATGCATTTAAGTTCATTGATCATGTATCATTGTTTTATGATAATTCTAATCTACTTTGAGTGACTCGTTGCACTTTTATGAAGTAAAATGAGTTGATATTTTTGGATTATTAACATATATATATATATTTAGCCTACTAGTATTGTAGCTAACTGGCTTTAGGTATGTAGTTCCTTTCTGTGTTTGTGGTTACTGATAAAATTTGCTGTTTGACGTCACCAAAAGGCTATGGTGACCTTGACATTTTCTAATCTTATTTTGTATCTTGCAGGCCCAGCCTCTTGTTTAAATGAAGGAGTGTTTGTGCGCGAAAGATATAAAATAAAATAAAATGTTGCAAATAAAGAGGTCGCTAAGCCCTCCTCTGATGAATTTAAATCTGAAACTTTTTTTAGTCTTTATTATTGCAGCTCTGACATATGCAGAACCACTTACAGTGTTACATATATATATATATATATATATATATATATATATATATATATATATATATATATATATTAACTGTTGTTAATTTGTGTTTAACGTTATAACTAGTTCATATATTATACAGCGATGACCATTGTTGTTGTTTGTATTTGTTGTATAATAGTTTACTTGGCATTTTGTATGTGTGTGGTGTGTGTGCTGTGAACGCTTCGCTTGGTGTTATGCTTTTTGTGTGCGTGTTCTGAAGAGTTTATTCCGCTTATTTCGGTTGTAATCATTTTTGTTGTAACTTTAATTTGATTGAGTGAGGATGGTGATAAAAATGGTTGAGAATATGGCAGAGGTGTTATGTAACTGTACCAAAACTCACATTTCTTGTCCTTATCTTCTGAGATGAGTTTTTCGTTCACATATTTTTTTTTATAAAAAATTAAGTTAATCTTAAGAGATATTTTGTATGGTGATCAAATGAAATAACTGGATATTTGTTAGATTCTTTGAATAGTTGTCTAGTTCATATAATTTGAGTTTATTTCTTGATTGATGTCTTTGTTACTCAGTTTCGCTGTATTTTTTATCATTTTGTTAAATAGTTTTAGTCATAGGTTCATTTAACATCATTATTATCATCATCTGGCCTTACGATAAGATGCAACTGAACTATTTAGATTACGCTTTAATTGAATGATTTTTTTTATTTTTAATCAATTTCTTCGTAATTTTTATATATTTGTTTTGAGAATTAACACAATGGAAATCATTCATACTTTTGTTTAATCACATTTCTCTATCAATCATTTTTTATTAACATTTTCTGTTTTTTTCTGCATACTTTTCAATGTCATTTCGTTGAATTTATATAATAACTTATTTGTAATGTTTAATATTCATGCATTGTAAGTAGGAAAGCATTTGTTTGAATACACAAAACAGCCGTACAATTTTTAAGTTTCACGCGCAAGAAGTCCTGCGTCAATTTATAATTGGGAATATTTATGGTGTGCTGTACCATTCACGATGACAGTGTTTTAATTCTTTTTCCATTTGATTCTAATTTCTTTCTATGTAGCAGTATCGTTTTTATCCATTCACCTTAAAATGGTTCATGTTGGATGTTCAATGTTCATTGTAAACTTATTTTATCCTCATCCCATTAACATAGGAAGTAATTTTTCGCCGCTTGCTTTCTTGCTTACCTACAAATATTTATTTCCATAATTTTCCTAATTTTTTTTTTCTACAACATTTACCTAGAAGACTCCACAAAATGTGTTTCCACAATCTATTCAGTAAGATTTGAGAACACGAGTGTGAGAGTTAGATTTTGTTCCAGAAATTTTGAATACTCGCTGTATTTAACACTCAATAGAAGAAATTTTTCATTTCAATTGGCTTTATCATCGTCATCTTCGTCCTTATGTATGAAAAATCGGAACTTGCCCTATCTTAATTGGCAATATTTAACAAAATTTAATAACGATGGATGAATGCGTTCTTTTGTTTTTAATAATGTAAGCAGTTTGAAAAATATTTTACATTAATTGTAAATACATTTAAAGTTTATCATGCTGTTTTATTACATAATTTTTTGTTTTCTAGTGTTTTTTAATGTCGAAAGTTTTTACCGTACATATTTTATCATCATTCGCGAAAAAATTTTCAACGTTTTAAACATTGATCTATGTCAGCCAACATTTAATACCCTTTACCACTTTTTATATAATTCTTATTTGCTTCAATAGACGTCACCGTGTTTATATTTGTGGCTGTCTTGTAATAACAAACAATCTACTGTAAGCTCGCCAACGAAGTTTTCATTAATTTTCACCAGTAGATTTTTTCATACCAATATGATCAATGTCACCTTCCTAAATTGGTTAATAATTTTATATCTGGAAATTCCCGTCGTTTCTCTCTCATTGCCATCTTGTGCCCTACCACTTAATGGTGCTCTTTACTGGGGAACGCACAACAAGACAATCTCTGGTCGCCCCTGCTTACCATGGAAACTATTCGAACATAAAATTACATCAGTCATGTTGCCTGACCTGAATTTGGAGGTGGCCTTGAACTTCTGTCGAAATCCCGGGATGGTTGGAGGTCGTCCATTTTGTTACATTCAGTCAGATCCGCCAGTTGCTGAAGACTGCTCTGTATGTTCTCGCCATGAAGAGACTTGCGTTTTAATGGATCGGGGGGTTAACTATGTAGGCGACACGTCAGTATCATTGATTGGTCGCCAATGCGTTTCGTGGATTGATGCTTTTAAGTTTCTAAATCATACATACGATAAAACCCTCGTTAGAACCAACAAGTCGTATATAACTCAAGAATTTGTTAAAGAAGTTGGAACAATCACTCTGGATAGATTAACAGAGTTTGGTAATTTTTGTAGAAATCCAGTATCAACACTGCACAGTCCCTGGTGTTTCGTCGATGTACCTACTTTGAGCTGGAATTATTGTGACGTGTGTTTCAACGGACCGTCATTAAGCATTGCAAACACGCCGCATCAGCCTTTACAAAATAGTTATAGAACTGATGACAATAATAGATATTTTGGTAATTTTAAAACGTTCAAGACGAACTATAAGCAACAAATAACTGAATCAATTTATGAAAGAAATATTTCTTCTTCACAGATTACCAGATCGAGTCGTTTAACTAGCAGACTTAATAGAGATAAACTCCAGTTGATTAGTTGGATGTCTTTAACCGTTGATTCTTTGGAGACTTGTGCAATATTTTGCTCCACTACATCAACCTGTGTAAAGTTTTATTTTGTTTCTGATCAACAACCTAAATGCTATTACACATCGTCACTCAATGAAAATGGGAATGTTAAAGAATCACTTGGCAAAAATTGTACAGCTGATAATAACGTGCCAAAGGTTATGAAGCTCATCAATGCTGAATGCGACGGTGGTGATAGTTATCCAGTTGGAAATTATAGTCAATGTAAATATAAATGCCTGAATGACGTCGATTGTCAAGCGTATCAGTTTATGGGATCAAATCCAACTTACAATTGCTTCACATTTTTTCACTTTCCCATGTGCAGACGTTCACGAATGGTGAATTACTTTGAAAAACGAACTGCACATGATAGACAAAATAGGAATCTAAAAGTTTTTAAAAGTTCAACATACGTAGTTATTAGATGCACAAATGAAATTAAACGAACAAAAAGAAATATGCCACCTTCTTTGCCACCAAATTTTGACTTTTTTAAATACGATCTCGCCAGCACAACAGAAAAACCTCCGCCAGCAGGCTCGGATTTTGATTTCGCTGACGAGTATCACGCTGAATCTCGTTTCCAATTCACACCTAAACTAGCTTCAACTATTATGTACAATATCTTAATAATTTACGGTATAGTTGTGGTGATCATTTTGTTGAACCTTTTCAAGTGGCAGTTTTGGTTTGAAAATCCGCAGCTGAAGTATGATCTAGAAGTTGCTGGTAAAACTTAACCTTAGCATTTAAGGCAAGAAAAATGTTAAACAAAACCAAAACGTCAGAAAGTTCGAAAAATGTTACAAATTGTGTGTAATTATCATTTGAATTTGTTGTAAGTTATTTCAAGTTGATATTTTTATGTATTAAATGAATGCTTAATTAAATTAAATTGCTTTTTTTCTCTATCAATTTAACTGTTAAATTAACCACACCTTTTAAAACATATAAATAAAATGTGAAAAAGTGTGTACGTGGTTTAATGCTATTGTAAATGTTTAAAATTTAATCGCTGGAGTATAAAAAAAAACAAAACTATTTTTTTGAAAATTGTTAATGTTTATAAGTTTTTTTAAACAAATTAAATTCTAAAACTTTGCAAAAATAATTTTAAATAGAAAATTTCTGTTTTATTTTTTTTACAAGCCACCCAAATGAACATAACAATGAAATTATATAACCATTGTTTAACGACGAGTCGTATGTAGAATAAAGCTGCGGATTGTCGTGTACAGCACATTTCAAAGCTCAATTAACCTTTAGAAATCTTATTATCAGCATCGGAGATGTTTCTGTTTATTTGAATTTTGGAAAAAGTCTTTTTCCTAATTTTCTAAATGATGAAGAAAGCTTCGAGTTTATATGAAGCACTGAATGGGGTGTTCTCTGTATACAAGCCCGCTGGAAAGTCGTTGTTTCAAGTCATCCAATCACTGAAACTCAATTTAGCCAAAGGTACCTTTGTTTTTTATTTTTTTAAAAATTAAATTAAAGCAAAGCTTTTAAAAGGCAAGCCTATAAAATAAAATTTACTGAAACAAGTAAAGTTAGTAAAGATAACTTTTTTCATAAAACTGTTATTTAATTTACTAACTAAAAGCTGAACTAAAAGTACTAATAACTTTGTTACTGTACTTGTACTGCATCATTAAGTACCAGACTGATATATTTTTTTTATACTATTATAGTTTATAATCTATATTATAATTATATGTTTCTATTTTATGTATACAATCATACATTCCACAACAAAGTACAATACGGAGTACTGATGCCAAACAATTCACTACTTATCCTATCAGAATCATTCAGATACTCAATATAATTGTGTGTGATGTATCAGTTTTTTTCTTGATTTAGTTAAAGTTTAAAAAATAAAATTTGATAAATCATACATACATTATTATTTATTTTACTGTGAAAAATACCTAAGTTAAATTATTATTTATTGTATTTTACTAAATTTTAATCTTTATTATTTTATTAATTTACTATTTATTTGATCTCAAATTAATAGAATTGAACAAATTGCCATGTCGACCTATGAGGCAGAGATTGGTGATAGATGATGGCAACCTCCCCATGATCACAACAGTCCCTGATTTGTCAGACCATGTACTAGGTTGATCAGTTTTTTTTGACATTTTTTGATTTTATTTCAAATTTATATATTAATATTTAGTATTTTTTTCATTTACATTTTTATTTACTTGAATGGTTTATTTTATTTTATTTTATTGCCTACCTTCAAATCTGACTTCAAATTATTCTTGTAAATTAGTTTAGTTTAGTGCTTTATTCATAGATTAATATATTTGGTTCCTAAACTAACATAAATAAATGAATATTGTTAAATTCAAATGCAGGTAGTTGAAAACTTTATAAGAATCATTAAGAGATAGGAATCACATTAGATAAAATTTTAACATTACTCTATTGGATGTATTTTGTAACTTGTCAAGCAACATTGGCAAACACAAACTGTTCGTTCATTTCAAAATTATTTCATTTCAAACTGCATGAACTATTTGAAAATAAATATAAAATTAATATTTTTTTAAATTAACAAATTTTATAAATTATCGACAGTTGTTGGGAAGAGGTTTATAGAAGATGACATCGAACTAAGCTGTGTTGATGCAATGAATAAAGCTTCATCTGGTGTCACAAGTAGGAAACATTAACATTGATGTCAGTTACAATACAATATAATACAACACAATACAATACGATACAACACAATATATTACAATACAATAGAGTACAATACAATCAATTTAACACTACAATACAATAATACAACACAATACAACAACAACACATACAAATGAAAGTTGCATAAATCATTAATTTAAGATAGTGACTTAGTTACTTACCATAAATAATTAGTAGCTAAATTGTTGATTACTATGCTTATTTCTTAATTTCTTTAAAAAAGTTTTTGGCATTGGAAGAGGAGTTAGCCTCATCAGACCAATATGCAAGGCTAAATATATGAAGGTAATTGTATGTAACTATCAATACATTCTATGTGTGTGTTGTCATTATGGTGTTATTGTGTGTTTGTCGATTCAATAATAAATCCATATTCATAAATTTATATCTTCTAAGTATTTATTTATCTTATATATATCTATGTATTTTAAATATAGATACATACAGATTTTGTCAGATTTTGATCTTTTAATGAATAAATTGAATAGCGTATTTTGGTAAATTTATTAACATATATATTTCAGACAGACTAACATATTATTTTGACGTAAATAAATTATTACATCCACTCGAAAGGTGTACCACGTGACTGGGGAGTTAGGGCTTGCCACTTCGAGTTGCTGGGTGGATGGCAGGGTTATTGAGAGGTCTACATTTCGTTAGTATCCACGAAGGTTTAATTTTAATTATAGAATAACACGCAAACAGTTCTGTGTTAGATGGATTTTCATTATAAAGAATATTAATTGAAAAAAAAGTTACGTTTCAATCGAATCTTGCTTTACATTTCTGTGGAATCTTTCGTTCTATGCTTGTATGATATTAGTATATTGGTTTGTTCAACTGGATTGATTTGGTTGGATAGTGTACAGGATACGAGTTTTTTTTGTGTGTGTCTTTTGTGGTCTTTGAGAAGTGTAGTTGTGATTTTGGTATGGCTCAAGTGCTTGTTGGATTAACATGGAGTAACGACTGTTTTGTCTGTTGACTCTGAAAATGTTCAATAAAATACTTTATAAAATTTTCATCTTCAATATTCTTAAATTTGTTATTCTCGCATTTCAATGCTGTAAATATGACTATTTCGAAGAGAGACTTGCTTTAAAATGTTAGTTGTTTATAGTAACATTTACTTGAATTTTTTTACGTTAAAAATGATCCCACATTTATTCGAAATTACCTCCCTATCAAATGCCGTCACACTCATTTGAAATTTCTTCCCAAAAATGACGTCACCAGATCACCTGACTGCAGCACGCATGGACAGGGTTGTGGCCGGCATACAATCTGGGCACCAGAAGCACATGTTCAAGTAGGCCATGAACTAACATCTATCCATTATTTTACGTTCCATAAAAATGTGAATGTATTATTATGAATTATTAATAATGCTGTATAAGCCATTCTTAAGATGATGTTATATCATTGGTTAGTTAATGGGTTAATTATTTGATTAATTGATGACCACAGAGCATCAGGGGTAGACTTGCAGTCAGAGGAAGCCTACCAATTAGCATGCAGGGGTCTGCTGAGGCCCATCCATCATTTGATGGGCCCTGTCATATACGGCATGAGGTGCATCCATTTCGAACCACCTCTGTTCACATTAGGTTCGCGGTGATGGTTTTTATTTTAATTTAACGTGTAATGATATGTTGTCCAGTTTGTTTCATTGCTGATAGTTTAGTAGATTTAATTATTTAATGTATTCATGCTTCCCTCACAGAAATCCACTCGATAAACGAGACATGCGACTACCTGAGCGACCTCGTCCACAACATCGGCATCGAACTTCGAACGAACGCCGCCTGTAGCAAGTTGAGACGCATCCGACACGGACGATTCCACCTACGGAACACCCTTCTTCTGAAGCACGCGTGCGATCCGGAACACCTCGCCAATCAAATTTCAGCCTTCAGGAATCTCTTATCGCGCGATAAAGTCACATTCAGACCGAATATTAATTATTTGAAGGATGATCGCGACGGAGATGTGCGTTTGTTGGATGGTGGTTGTGAGAATGATGCTTTCATAAGTGATGATGTATGTCGAACTGACGATGCCAAACTAATTGCTAGCAGTTAATTCAGTTGATTCTTGATTATTTTTATTTATTTTGTCTTGCATACATTTGCGTTTTGTATTTTTTAATAAATTATCAATGTAGAAGAGGTTTTTTTTAATAAACTCAAGTCGCATAATGCAACGCTTTGTCGGGTGTGGTTTGACTGTTTGAGGAAGTTTTGAACAAAGAAGACGATGCCTTCAGGAGTTGTCTTATTTCATTGTAATGGTGAGGCGAACACTTGTCACTTGTGCAGCTCCATGGTCACTTGGAGCCTGTTCGAAAGAAATAAATAAGCATCTTTTTGAACTGGTACAGTGGGGAAATCTTGTTTAGTGGCAGTTCATCTTAAACAGGTTTGCAGAGCGTTATGGTTGGTGTTGCAAACTTGGTGGTACTATTTGACAGTTATTACTCAGAAAATTCGTTGAGAAACCACAAAAATGCCGATAGTAAATGAATATGACCTACTGCAGCGAGAAATGGTTTGGCACATTAAATAAATAGTACGTCTTTAACGTATATTCGCAGCGAACTCCAAAAATTAAGCACACATTTGACCAGATAATGCTTTGTGCTTAGCGCTATTAAACATACCTAGACATGAAACACCCACTCAAATGTTAAAAATAGTTCTAACGTCATATCCTGTTGTCATAATTTTGCGATGATTTTTGTTGCAAAGTTCTCTTAAAAATAATTTTCCCGTTAAATGCAACAAAATCATCATCCTAATCAGACATTTTTCAACATTTTCACATTTATTTATTAATTCCAAAACACATAATTAGCTATACTATCACTTATTTGTTGTGTGTTGTGTGGTTGTCCCTTTAAAATTTAAATAGCCGGAGTTTAAAATTTAAATAGCCGGAGTTTATTGAGGCCCCGCCTGACATTTATAACTAGTGACAGTTTGATTAGTGCATCGATAACGTCAGATGCCAAACGATGTCCGTCATATATTCACCTACGACGTGGGCCAAGCAACGGCGTAATGAGTTTAGGGCCGGTCAGTTATCCCAGCAGCAATCCATCTGCCTGTCGAACACAACTGGAGTCGACATGGACGAAGCCGAGAAAAAGATCGTCAACGAGTTCTGCCACTATCTCGAGAAATCCAAGCAACTCTTTAATGGATTGAGGTTGGTTTGGTTGGCTGGTTGGGGTGAGTTTTACCCTCTTAACCACCTGGTTAATCAATGAAGCCTAGGAGGTGGAGTCATTGAGTCTTTCGTTTTGCATGCTGGGTTTTTTATATTTTGAAATCAGTTTTTCATTAAAAATGGTTATCTTACTTGAGAAATTTAAAAATGGTTATCTTACTTAAGAAATGTCATTCATTCCTGACTCCAAAATTTGATTTTAGATGAATTGAAGTTGTAATTTTAGTTTGAATGTTTGATTCAATTGTTAAGATAAGAGTTATTTTTGAAATTTTGTTTATATTGCTATTTTTTAGTTGTGCTTAGTGTTAGTCCATTCATTTATAAGTTGTCACTCAATTATTGTCGACCAATCAGAGATCTTCCTCAATATGGCCACAAACAATGGCAGTCATATTTTGGCAGGACTTTTGATGTTTACACAAAACTGTGGAAATTTCAACAGCAAAATAGGTGGGGTTAAGTTATTTTTATTGTCAACCTTGTTAACTAAATCATTTGCAATTCATTCATTTGGTAATCAATTGCTCATTTATTCATTTGATTATTTATTCATTGAAACAATTATTCATTCACTCATTTATTCATTCACTCATTCATTCATTCACTCATTCACACATTTTTTTATTAGGTTCATTATATAATTGGTTTTTATGTATTTGCATATTGCCCCCACACGTGTACAAACAGCCAAACACAAACACACATTTTTATCCAATTGTGTACACACATACAGATACACACACACACACACACACACACACACACACACACACACACACACACACACACACACACACACACACACACGCACGCACACGCACGCACATACACAGGCAAATTTTGGATTCAAAGTATGGCCTGAAGAGATGGCAAATAGGAGAGGTAGCTTCCAAAATTGGACAGCTATACTACCACTACTAGTCATTAATATTAGTTACTATTTATAATTATAATAATAATTAATAATTAATAATAATAATTATAACAATAATAATCACAATAATAATTATTATTAATTATTATTGTGATTATCACTATTATTACTTTTATTTTGTTAAAAAAATTAATTATTATTTTTGATTTTTTTTTTTAAACTAGTAAATAGTATTAACATTGTTAGTAATACCATTAAGTGCTATTAGTATTGTGATTATCATTTTTATCTTTTTTTTCTTTTAATTTAGTCTTTAATTAATTTTTAATCTTTCCCCCCCCACAGCCTAAGAACCAGCGAAACGAATTATTTGAACGAGTCGTATGCTTTCTATTCGGCCATCAGGATGAGAGGTTACTATTCAAAGGCCAACAAGGAGGAGAGGTTGGTTTTGACAGGGGGTGACATTTTGCAAATTTTAAATTATTTTTTATTTTATTTTGTGCTAACATTTTGCAAATTTGAAATTATTTTTTTATTATAATTCATTTATAATTATTTTATTATTATTCTCTTAATTCATTTATAATTATTCTTATAGTCTCATCTGTGTATATTATTTAAGTAAACTTCTATTTTTATTTATTTGATTAATTTCCTTCCAAATTATTATTTTCACTTTGCTTTTTTAATTTCCGTTTTAGTAATATTTAAATATAAATAATATATTGATAAATAAATAAATTAATTAATATATATATAATAAATACATAATCAATAAGTTTATTATAAATGAATAAAATATATCAGGCCAGACTTAACGGTAAAGAAATTACGGTACTATGCTCGCTTTATTGTCGTCTGCCTGCTACTAAAAAAGATGGGACTCGTTAGAGATCTCGTTAGGGTATGCTGTTCATTCATTCAATTGTTTTTCATTCGTTTATTCATTCATTCATTTATTCATTCCATTCATTCGTTCGTTCGTTCGTTCGTTCGTTCGTTCGTTCGTTCGTTCGTTCGTTCATTCATTCAATTGTTTTTCATTTGTTTATTCATTCATTCCTTCATTCATACATTCATTAATTCATTCATTCATTCATTCATACTTCATTAATTCGCTCATTTTGAAAAATTATAAATAAATTTCAATAATATTACTTAGACTAGTAACGCTAACATTAGTAGCATGTAATAAAGATAGTATCAACGTCAAAAAATCAAATCATGTGAATGATATTATTAGTTATTGTGGTGAATTATAGGTTAATAAATTATGTTATTATGTTATGAATCTTTAAAAATAATTATATAAGGAACTAGCCAAGCAGATAGATGACTACACTGCCACCTATGGACCAGATGATCAGCTTGAATGGTCACTAGTTCTTGGTGAGATTAGAGCTTTCGTTGAGGTCTGTTTTCTAC